TTTTTTTTGGCTGACTAATATTTGCATCCTTAGAATTAAGTAATTTCTCCATACATGTTGGCGCAGGTTACATCTCTTACCATCTCGAACCTATTTCTTCAACTCAGCAACATATACAGCTAAGAAAAACAAAAAATTGGGACTCACACTCACTTCAATCCAATGCAATCTCTGTTGTAATTTGTTGTTATGTGCTATGGATGAACTTTGTTTAATTAATGCTTGTTTAAGTAATATTTGTTTTATTTTGTGTTGTAATAAGCAGTAAAACAGATTTGAGAAATTTCTTGTTTTATATTTTGACTATTAACTATATCTACCTCAACATCTTAATTTCTTTAATCACATTATTGTTCAACTCTTGTGCAAATTGAACCCACATATATATATGTAGGCCATAGCAGACCTAAGGTATGCATGTATACGATTGTATGAATTTCTTTCATTTTTTTGTGATCTATCAATTTAGTTAAACTCTTTTGTGGCTAACTTGACAGTCTCTGTGACTTACCTTTAGATTTTATGCAGCCAACACACCCGTACTTGGAGATCAACAATTATTTTCAAGTCCAAAATAGTAAGCAAAATTTAGATTGATTTAATGCGCTTTCTTGCCTGCCAGCTGCCTCTACACTGGTAATTAGTTGATTCTATTTTTCTCATCCAAATATTAAGTGGTTTTAAAGGATTTGATACTGTCTTTTTCACCAAAGTGCTTCTCAATTCATATTATGGTTCTTATTTGTTTGTCCAAATGTCAGTTCTATGTTTTCTCTGTATCACACAATCTATTGAACCATGTTGCAGGGCTCTTATATACTGCTTCTCTGAATTTGGGCCCTAGTGCTCAGCATCTGACGTAATGGAGTTTATGTGAATTGGATATATATGAGTTGGTATAGTTGGCTTATTGTTCAACTCTTGCAGCCATTCAACCTATACGTAGGCCATAACAGACCCAAGGTATGAATTTCTCTCATATTTGATCTATTGATTTTGTTAAAAACTTCCGTGGCTAACTTGAGCATCTTAAGTTCCCTGCCAAGGCACACTTCTGCAGCCCTTCACCGTCTTTCCTCCTGCTTTCAGATTGTGCTTTCTTCTGTACCAGCTGCCTCTACCTTCCTATTCTACACTGGCAAATTTTCAAGATTTGTGTGTTTTTAGATTTTACTTTTTAACAAATTCCATATGATATCTATCTCTCTTGATTGGATGCTAATTCCTTTATAAAAGGGTTTGCTATCATTTTCACCTACTTTGATATTTCCATTTGTACAATTCAACCATCTGTTCAAATGAAACCCGGGACATTTGAATTGTTTGATAGTTTGATATATAGCTGAATTCAACTTTCTCTTGCAGAAGCCAATAATCTGCTTTTTGTGGAATCCCTGGTTAGAGTTGTGTTTTGAACCAATATGCCTCCTGCTGTCACCTAGTTTGTTAGTTTATTTGACAAGAGAGAGTTTCTCTTAGACTTAGACGACAGTGCCCATAATTTCCTATTGAACTGGCGTCAGAGATATCCACCAATCAAAACCCAAGAATTCTTCATGTAAGGAGGGAGTTTCGCAGGCAGTAAGTTTTGGGGTTCTCTTTCATACTTGCACATATAGTTATGTAAATGCTCTGTAAATCATTCCTTATTATTGCAGGCCACTATGTACCATAACTTGTGGAGCAGGGTTTGTCTATGATCAACACAAGGACATACAAATATACTTAATCATCTCAAAGGTTTTATGGTAAGAATAATCCCCCATGTTGCTTTACTGGATTGGGGGCTAAAATTGATCAGCACCATTAGGCTGCACGTACTTATCTTATACATCTCAAGCATACATGAACATAATGTACTAAGATGATATCCATGTTGCAGGTAGGCAATCCAGAAGCCGATTATTATGATGATTATAATAATAGTGCCTTGCCAAGATATGCTTGGACCTGTTATGTGAGACCAAACCAGCTCTACTTCAAATCCAAACAAGTGTAGTCTTCAAAGTCTCCATACTAATTTGCCTGACCTTGATGAGTGCAACAATTTCATGAACAAAGTCTTTGAAGAATATACAGAGATGGACATTTTCAGAAAAAAGAGAGACATCATCAACGATTTCTCTTGGATCCATGGTAACTAGATGCTGGTTTTAGCATGTTCCTTGAGAATTGTAGCATTGATCTTGCTGAACTTTGGACCTATGCGTTGCTCTCCTTCTGGCTTTAGAATTTGACATTAACAATACCAGCCACCACCCTCATAGGAACATCATCAAGAAAATCACTAGCACTACCAATACCAGGAGGTGGAGCCCGACAGCTACACAGCTGATTGGATGGCTAAAAATAGTCTTGAAATCGTCATCTTGTGTTTGAAATCTCTTCCAAGGGTATTTTGGCTTCTCATTCTGGCTGATGCTGATAGTATTGCATCCTTAGAATTACTAAATAAGTCATACCCTTTTGAGTCTTGAAGCATATATATCATGTAAGGCTTTTAGCACATCAGCACCCTGTCAATTTCAGAACATTGAAATTCAGAGTTCAATTTCGGATAATCAATATATGTGATTTAATTTGATTCAGCAAGCAGATTGGCGTCATTTTTACCATCAAAATTTTTTAACTTTGCCTCATTTTGCCACATCTTCTACAACTTTAGTTGAGGATAAGGATAATCCATTACTCGGGCATCTTCATTCCACCCATTTCCAGATTATGCACAAGGATATCTTTGCTCCCCAGAATAATTTTTAGAGTAGTACGAAAGAAAACAAGGACACGTACAGATGTAAACAATTTCCTTTCATATATATTTACAATTTCTGTTAGAGTTGTGGTGTCAAAGCTGCAATACAGTGGTGGTAAAGTGACAGCCACATGGAGCTGCACAAAATGGCAGCAAATCTTTTGAATATAATATTACTTTAAATGTTTGATAGATTTTCTTGCATCAGGTAAATATTAGGTGAGAAAAGTATTGTTTTGTGTTGTATTGTTTTTGCTATTTATAGCAGAATATTAATGGAAGAAAATGAGTTTTCACCTCATCAAAAGATTGTCTCCTTTTGCGGGCGTCTTGCATTCTAGATGAAAGACAATAGAAAAACTAAAAGCATCTTGCAATACAAATTTCTATCATTTGGAGACAAAACTAAAAATAGAAATCCTGAGTTTAATTTTTCACTTACTTCTCTTTTGAATCCAGCCAAAGCAGCACCCGAGAAATCCTGGTCTAGGAACTTCTTAACAGCAACCTCCTGTGGTTCAAAACCCATTACCAGCTAGGAAGTTCGAAACTCCATATTTCATTTCATATCTTATTGATTCAAAATTGGTGCAAGTAGAGAAATCGTGTCTTAAAAACACAACTCTTTTACAAGCTAATTGATAGAAAGAAAAATTTTAATAAACTTTCAATTTTAAAAATG